CGGTGCCTCATTGAAAATTGAAAGTTTCATTACAGAATAGGAATTAAACCCAGGTTTTCGTGGCGGTTCCTGGAAACAATGTTTTGGCAGTGATTTAACGACAATCACCGTACATTGTTTGAAATCGAATTACAAAATTCATTATACTTTGAGAGAAGATATATTTTCTCTTTTTGTTAAAAATGTTCTTCCATTAATATTCTCCTATTAATATCACTATTATTTTAATAATGAAAATAATAATTCAAAAATGGATATAATAGATAAAATTCATTTTTTCAAATATAAATTTAATTTAATAAGTTTTTGCGGAAACTTTTTTGTGTAAAATTTTTATTATTTGAAAAATTATGGTTACAAACAAGTATATTTTATTAATTAATTTTGAATTAATTTTATTTTTGGTCTCTTTTAAGAAACCACTTGCAGAAATTACTGGATGCTCCTTACTATCTTATGTATATTATAATTAGTTTATTTTAGATAAGAGTATACATATAATAAAATACATGTGCGTAAATTGTGACATATTTGAAAAACTATTTTTTAATATTATTCTTAATAATATATTAGGAATGCATGATATAATATAAAATGTGTGATTAATTAAAAAATTCGAGACAAATCGAATGGGTACTCTGATATCAGTAAGATATCTGCAAATTATTGTTACGTGCTAAACTGTTAAATGCAACAGAAAAATTAATTTCTTGATAATCTTTCATTTGATGTTGCTAAATATTCAAGTTGAATTTTTTTTTAATCTTGCTGTTATCAGATTTGATTTGTCTCGAATTTTGAGCAAATTTGGTACCCTAAAATTATTATTATTCACACATTTAATCAAGCAACGATAAAAGCGCATGTATTTCATTTTACTTTTAAATATATTTGATTGTAACATGTATATAAAAACTATTATATCCAGTCATTATTTAGTAAAAAAAGATATTTCTTAAAATGGAAGAACATTTTTTTTACGAGAATTTTAATTTCATTTATTGAAAATGATAAGAAGGGTAACAGTTAATTCGCTGCTGAAATCACTGTTATCAGGAGCAATTAGGAAGATCAGGGATTCGTTCCTTCTTGTAAAGGGATTTCTGATGTTTAATGAATCACTTAACTATTCATTGTAGATCGATTTCGCAAGATCCAAAATAGAAGAAATAAGACAAATTGAAGTCGTTTTCCACTTTTAGGATCGTTCTTCTCTCTGTCAGATATTAACCAGCGTGTCACTCGGCAGAGGGATTTTGATTTGATTTAATCGTTGGGCCAATTATCCTTCATTGAACGTGGTGATAACGCGATTAGTTTAAAAATTATTAGAGTTTAGCTTGTTTGCAATTGTCCGTGAAACAAAATTGTATATTTTACTTTTGGTCGCAAAATTTCTTTACATAAAATTATAAGTATATGATAATAAATCAAGCATTAAATTCTGCATTCGCGTTTGATTTTTTTACGTATATATAATTGCAGATCATATGAAATGCGCCTCTAATATTGCAGTATTTTTATTATTACATAAAATGATAATAATTATATTGCGTGTGCGCACATTCCGTCGAGATTATTATAAAAATTATATGGATTGTAATTAAATATTACTATTACTGTCAATTTATTTATTTGTCATATATATTTGTAAAATTCAAATCGCGATTTTTTTCTCATTTAATTGTTGGATAACATCGAAGCTTAGTTTATCTTTTCACGATAATATTTCTTTTAAATATTTGTTTTAGAAAACCTTATAAAATGTATTAAAATTCCGGGTACTCTTTCTTATTTAAAAACATAATCGATAAATTTATTAATGATTTTTTTAGTTGCGATAAACATCAGCTCTACGCTATTCTCAAAATTTCTAATCAGTTTTACATTGTACGTATTTCAGATATTCGTGTAATATGATAAAATAATTTATGTATGTATTCTATATAATATTTTTATGTATCGTATTACGTATAATGTATTTTTTATTATTGTTATAATTATGTATATTATATACTATATATTTCCAACAAGAAATTTTATGTATTAATAATTTTTTGTGTTAACAATAATGAAAAACTTTGTATTAAAAATTTTATATATTATATATTATAATACACACACACATATATATTTTGTTATTGTTATAATTATGTATTATATGGACTATGTATTTTCAATTTAATTATAATTGATTATATATATTAAATGAAATTGTAATTTAAATTTTTAAATTATTTATATTGTACTCCGCGTGTATAAAATATTGCATTTTATAAAATATCTTCAGAATGAAATATTATGCAATAAATCAATTTTTATTCAAGATTAATTCTATTGTAATGTTATAAATAACTTTTACACATAGTTTTGTTATAATTTTCATAGTATAATTTTAATAGTATAATTTGATGCATAATATTTTATTATAATAATATGTAAATTCACATATAAGTGCGTTAATGCTCTCAACATCAAATTATCTATATTATTGAAAATATTTGGATAAATTCGAATATATTTATGATGTTGATAACATCACCAATTAATAAATATATAATTATACTATAATTATAATATATATCTTATAATATATTTTTATTTGATTGCAAGTTATATGTAATTATACACTACAATATTTTGTGTAATTATATAATATATATTTTATAAATTCTTTGTATTATATTTTTTCTATTTGGAAAATTTGAAAAACTACCTACACCACCTACACCCTTTTAAAAGAAAATAAAAATAAAGTAAAAATTTTTTTCCTCCTCATTGTATCTCCACCTTAACGAAGGCCCTTGCCGGGTGAGGAGGTTTGAGTACTCTTATGATCCTAAGAGCTATGCCGGCGGTAACATAATTACCAGTAGGGTCACCCATGCCGGACAGGTCAAAGGGAAAGAGTCAGACTAAGAGAGATACAATAATTATATATGTGTGTGTGTATCTACACATATTCATATATATATATATATATATATATATATATATATATATATATATGAATATACATTATATAAATATTCTTTTGAAAAAAGATAGAATAATCAAGAAAAGGAAGAAAAGGAGAACTGAGTGAAACATCTCTCAAGAATGCTTGAGGACAAATGGCCACAGAAGAAATTCCGATGGACTTCATAAGAAGAAAGAAGTGCGACAAGAGTTCTTACGATCTTGCGACGATAATACGATAATAGTTCATTACAGGACTAGAAGAAGGAATGCGTTGAATAGGAATGCATAGTAATTACGAATAAAAAGATAGCTTGCAGTAGTATAAAAATCGTTCATAATAATAATGTTTTGTAATTATTATGTATTTACTATATATAATATTTTACTATTATGTTATAATTTATAATTTAATATATTGTATTATATAAAGCATTAAGTATCAAAATTATGCCTATGAAAACTGTAATAAAATAACAAAAATATTTACTATAAACTTTTGAACTTTCTTTATATTTTATATGAAGCAAGAAACATTTGGAATATTTTGCAAAATCTATATTTTTCGAGGATCTTAATACTTTATATAATTCTTATAGATTCTTCGGGAGATTTATGATTAATTTAATTTTAAGATTTAAGAAATTTTTATCCTTCTAAATAGTAAATATTCTGTTATTTATTGTTGTAAATTACTAAAGAGATATCCAAATTTATTATTTATTATTATAATTATTAATATATTTAAAAAAGACAATTTTAAAGATTTCAATTGAAAGTATAGAAGGAAATGTAACATTTCATAAATCAATTATTTTTAAAATAGCTAGGCTAAAATCTTTATTTTAATTAAACTTCTGTTTACTACTTTCATATGCTTTATTAAAATATTGTATAGTGATGATTTTTTGAATATTATTCTGGGATGGATAAAAAAACTGGAGATATATAATACAACATTAAGCGTTAAAATAAAACTATGCAAGTTTCTCAGATTAAATTTTTAGACAAAATTCTTGAGATTAATTATATTGTTTTTGATATTTTTTGCGAAACTTCCTTTATGATCAAATTTAAATTTTCTATTTTCGTCGCAATATCATTCGGTGATTTCGCGATGCATTCGGTTGAATCTTGATGAGGTTTGCTTTATAAAATTTCATTTGTCTGACTATATATATATATATATATATATATATATATATATATATATATATATAGGGTGTGCCATTTTATGTGTCCACCCCAAATATTTCTTTCATTTTTGATTAATATTTATATATATATTTATATATATAAATATTTAACGAATTAATCGAATAAATGCATTCCGATTCATCTTTTCGTTTGGTATATATAAATATTTAATTCACTATTCGACTGATTGCATTCCGACTTGCTTTTTTATTCGATATATATAAATATTTAATTAATTAATTAAATCGATTAATTCGTTAAATATTTATATATATATATATATATATATATATATATATATATATAACGAATCAATCGAACGAATGCATTCCGATTCATCTTTTCGTTTGGTATATATAAATATTTAATTCACTATTCGACTAAATCGGAATGCATTCGTTCGATATATATAAATATTTAATTTATATGTATAGTACATTATTATTTTTATATATTAAAAATTTCATAATTCATTTTAAATACTTTCAAGAAGATCGAACAAAACATAAAAGTTTTTGCTTTTATTTTATGGATATTTAAAGTCGCAAATTATTATAGATAACGAAAGAAAAGTTTCCAATATCATTGAGATATATAAGGACAAAACATTTTATTCATTTAAAAGTAATTTTAATGGAATAATGAGAATTTTTTGATTAAAGTGACATCAACCACGACTTAAATCGGATAAATTTAATTAAATTTGTAATCAAAATTTTTATCATTAGACTAATTAGAGTGTATTACCGACACTTTGTGCACATAGCACGGAACAGAACCACAATTTGGACAGCGTGTTATCCATTAAGAAGTTTCATGGAATTGGCTACGTAGTTCAATGTCCATGTTTTATAAACATAGAGGCGCTATCTGCGGCTTCTCTTTCAGAGCCCCGTCTATTAAAGGTGCCTAACCTTACCTGATCTCGTTGATGTATCGTGTAAATACTGAAGTCTTTTAATCTGCGTCGTTAATTTCGTAATTTTATTATCATTCCCATATTTCGCAGATCAATATTTAATCATCTTTCTTATGGAAATGACTGATTTTATGCCGTAGTATACAAACACGCGATTCCATTCTGTGGATTCCACTGCTCGACGTAGTTGACATCGACTCTTTTGTCAGCTGAGAGAAAGCTCGAGAGTTTTTAATGAACATATTTTTTCGTGAACGTTAAATCCTTGTGATATCCATCTCTGTAATCGTAATATATCGTTGGATTATTGCAATATGCCTTGGACGATCTTTCCGTGTAATAAAAAATTTCAAGACACGATTTTGAGATAGATTAGGAATTTTATCAGTAAGTACTCTATATAGTGTTAATTTATTATCTAAATATTTTTATTACAATTTCGTTAAAACACTATGTAATATTATGTAATATTTGGAACATGATAGCTTCTATTGTCACAATAATTTTGCATAAGCGTAACAATAAAAATCCTGCAGGTTCAAATTTACTTATTTGACTAAACAAGCATTGGATGAGATTATATGAGGTGGATAAAATGATGCATTACGGGCTATGGAGTCAATATCAAGGAATATTGAATAATCATCAATGTTACTCACCATATGTCGAGACAATGCCATCCTATCAACATCGTGATCACGAGCGTCATCAGTTAACTGAAGAGGAAAACGAACAGGCTGGTGAAGAGACACATGACACAATGACGCCTGCTACTTCTGGAGAACGTAGTTCTAGCGCGGATCTGTTTAGATTAGAATTTGCAGCTGCTCAATGGTCTAAGTTAGTTTCTAACGCAGAAGGCCTATTTACAAAGCTCATGATGAATAATATCTTGCCACATACCGAACAGGATCAAATTGAACAGTGGCTATGCATGAAACAAGAGTACGAAGAATGTATTGCTAGCGATGAGACCACTAGTTTGCAAGGATATGCAGAGAATACAAGGAGATCATTGGAACGTATCGAGGAAGTAACTGAAACAGATGAGAAAACGGATGAATCTGCGAATCAAGTAAAACTCAAGCTTAATTCCAATTGCACCTCCAGTTCTGAGAGCGAACTATCCGAAGGTGATGATGACGAAGATGAAGATGAAGAAGAGGATCAAAGTGATGCGAGCTCAGAAAGTCCAGATTTTCTAGAGAAGCTAGATGAGTTTATGAACAAATTTAAAATAGAGACCGATATAATTGTTGGTTCTAAAAAGGACGATTTCAGAGAAACAAATATTGAGCTTGTATCGCCTCCAGTGACAAGATCCGTGAATAATAATTATGTACCAGTAGCTCGCCCTGTACCATTAAGAAATCCAAATTCTAGGAGAAATTCTATGCTTCCTGGTTCTGACATGTGTAATGAGGTGTTAGTCTTCAATGATAGTTTGAAACCTTGTTCCAATCAAATTCTTAGAAATCATACGTCAGAGTATACCAAGCCATGTATGTTAGATAATCGTGAGTCGGAAATCAACATTAATGATAATGCTATTAACGATAATTTCCTTGCAATACAAAATGACAATTCGCCAGATTTGTTACTCGATGCTCTAAAAACCACAGAGATACCTGAACCCATTAAGGAATTGAAAGCCCTAACATTGAATAATGAAGCGAAGCAAACACAAGTAAAGAGGATTCAATCAAATTTGGATGGTGCGCACAAACGTATCGAAGAACTGCAGACGACAATTAAGATTAAGCAACGTTTTATAGCAGATATGATTAAGAACTCTGATACACGTACTAATGCGAAGCAAAAATTTCAACGTAAACGTAGTAAATTGGAAGAAGAATATTATAATACAAAGACACAATTAGCACAGGCAGAAAATGCATCTATGTACAGAGAGCCTGAGGAAAAATCGGTACACAAGAAAGAAATTGAACTAATGAAAAATATGGCGATACACTACGAGAAACGATTGATGGATATAGACATGATAAAGCAAATTGCCGGTGATTCGGCGAAAAAAGTTCTGGAGCTTGAAGCCTCATTAAATACTTCCAAGAAGCAGATGGACAAATTGAAACGACAACTAAAACGCGAAGAAGAGCGTAAAAAGCAATTGGAGGAAGAACTTGCGAAGGATCAGCAGAAGATTCGCGAACTCGAGGAGAAGTACAATTTGACTGCTTCCAAGTTGAAGGAAATGCAATCGGAGAGTGAAGATGAGAGACATAATACAAAACCGAAGACTGATTGCTCGGATAAGAAGAAGAATTTATTAGATGTAAGCGCGAGAATATCTCATCTGGACCACGTTTTGAAAGAAAAATCTATGGACTTGGAAAGAACCGCGGACACAGACGAGAAGGAAGCGCTACGGCACGAGATTAGAAACTTGAGACATACTCGGGACTGCTTGGTAGACGAGAAATGCGATCTAGATGAAAAATTCCAAAAGGAGAGGACTCTGACTACGGTCGAGGAACGTAAATTGCTGGAATGCGGCGAAACCATCGAAGCTATCGATGCAATGATCGAGCACAAGAACGAAATGATTTGCGGACGAAAAGATTTCGATGAGAATCAATCTCAACGTGAGAAGGGCGAGAGAATGCTGATGGAACGCTTAAAGAAACTCTCTCACGGTGAAATAATAACGTTATTTATGAAGTACTTTCGCAAGGTAATCGACTTGAAGGAGAGTTCGAAAAATCTGGAAGTTCAGATAACGGAGCTGGAGGCGCACATCGCTAATCAGGATTGGCGACTGATGGAGGCCGAGAGACGAATGGTCTTGATGCAGAGGCAGTACGAGGACAAGTTGCATCATGTATTCAGACACTTTGCGGAGGAGACTAGCAGCTCCGGCCACGAGAGATTGGACAAGGATTCCGAGCTCGCGAGGTACAAGAAAGAGAACAGGGCCTTGAAGAAGCGATTGGCAGACGTCGAAGCTCTACTCAAAGGTACTGCACTTCCGCGTACAGCTAGTCCGTGTAGAGCTCTACAGCAGGGATTAAAACAGATCACGCCGAATACTCGCTCGACAACTAAGGTAACGAGACAGCGAAATAAGCTGATAATTCAAAAGACGACCGACTGCGATAAAAGGAAAAAGTGAGTTTGTTAAGAAACGTTAATTTCGTTTTTTGTTGCATATTGGCAGCCGATTTGGTTTAAATTTTTTACTATACACACTTGTTTTATATAGTCTACATTTCTACACAGTATCTTTATAAGTATTAAAATGCGACCTAGGTAGAATTAAATTTCGCTTTTTTATGCAGTACAAAAATCTCATAATTTATACAGATTATAATGTGTGATAAGTTTTAGGCGCGAGAAGTAATTACTTATTCTGTATTTTTGTAGGATATATATTGTTATAGTAAGAACATATTAATACCTTGCGAGATGTATTAGTACATCAATATTGGTTTGTGTTAATATTAGATAGGTGTTAATAATAGGCATTTGTTTACAGGCACAACTAATTAACTTGACGATAATTGCACTCGTTAATAGATGAAGTTCATATTTACAAAGAGGGATTTACTATGTACATTTAAATTGCATGCGATTTACCCACGTTATATTTATTACAGGGTATACGTAGTCGTAATTTCAAGCTCATAATTATTAAGATTTAAGAAAACAATATGCAGGAATCTCGTTCGGAAGTGTATTTGCATGTTACTCGTAATAATATCGCGTTATTATTTTTAGCAACTGATTATAAGTATCACGATGTAGTAAGATACGGCATGATCGTTTCGTGATAAGATAGCTTAGATGTTTACACGCCTTGCGAATAGCGATGCTCAATTATACACATTAAACAGTAGCATTCGACATCTGAAATGAATTTTAGTCAAATAATGTTTGAATGCGGACAGGAATGCGATGTAGGAAATTCGTTTCACTTGTTAGGCCATCAAAAATCTAGTTATTGATTAGCAGTAACTTTAGGTCTGATTAGGACTAAAGTGAATTCTGTCCATCGATTGTATTTCTTGAACGTGATCATTGATACAAAACGCATAATATATTAGTATGTTAGTATTGTTCTTGTATTTGGAAGATATATACATTCAAGATGGACACATATTGATCTCTGTATTATTAGCTCGCATTACCATGTTAATTATTAAATTATTTATATCACTTATGATGTGATTATCTATGACGAATTTTTCTTTTCTTTAATATTTTTCTAAAAATAATTATATCATTTTTACAGAAATTATTGTAGGTATATAATCTTCTGTCAAAAATATTTTATTTATATTTTATAAATGAAGAAGAGAAAGAAGGAAAGAAAGAGAAAGGTATTGTACATTATATATAATATGAAATATATATATAATATATATAAGAAATTATATATGTACTTTATGATGTTAGAAACTTAAAAGCAAAAGATTGACAACGTGATTTCGGTTGGACGAGAATTAATATCGTTTCATCAAATGTATAGAATAGTCTCGATTGTTTGGCATGACATTAGTCACACATATTCTGAGTTAAGGTATCAATCCACTTCCATTATAATTTATTGTAATTTTGTAAATAAATCGATGCTACATACTTATAAATTCTCGTTTCTTCCAGCTGATTAATGTCTCATGTGCATTGATAATCTAGGAAATAAAAATTTATTCCAGACTTGTATTATTATTTTAAAAATGATTTTCATGAATCTACACGAAGTGGATTTATATTAAGCTTTCTAAATCCAAATAAATATATCTCATGATCTTGATATAAATATATAAAATATTCGAAAGACGTATCTAGATTTATAGATGATTCACATATTTATTAAAACGTCAGAGATTTTGAAAAATGAAATTCAGGTTTTACCGATAAAAATTAAGGCAAATGATGATCTTTTATCAAACTTTCGTTATAAAAATTCGAATTTATCGTGAAATATATGACTGAATAAATATATCCACAGATCTTGCCATAAAGTGTTTCAGACCGTGGAATCTGGAAATGTGTTTTCTCCAAGTGTCATCGTGAATTGATGCTGGAAAGTCATGTAAAATGGGAACGTAAATGGAGCATCAATATCTATCTGAGAATGAAGAATCGCACAATCACATACATTTCTGCACGTGTGTAATACGTATGCATACAGGGCATATCAATATGCGAATCTCAAATTTGCGCCCGCTAAGTGACCGAGAAGTACATTTCACGGTACGATGCCCACGAATTGGCAGCCGCATCTTGAAGACGCACATAATTTCCTGAGTATTTGGTACCCGATCAATCGCGGATCGATCCGAGATCAATTCTAGCGTCCAGCACCGTTATCATGCTCGCCACGCGTGAAAACTGGGATGATCCAGATTTCGAGAGAATACATTGGCATTGCATTGTGTGCTGGACCGCATCATCGGACATGATTTTAGCGGATTTTAGCTCTTTTTGTGTATTATTTTTGCATTATTTATACGATACACACCGTTTTTATTCGAATGTATAAATACGCGAACAACCTGAATTTTTTCCGCGTTCAATAAATAAAGGTCTTTATGTAATCCCTACATTATGATAAAACTAAGCCGTTCGACGGCTTTTTTACGCTTGTAATTTTTTTCTCCCTTTTATTGAAGCTTCTGCGGTCGCAAAGTTCCGATCCTCCGATAAATTTCAGATTTAACGACTATGCGATCAGCTGGTGTGTCAATTAAATTGTACCAATGTAGATTCGAAGTTTATTCCTTATTTTCGTTCGCTGTTATTTTTTTCTGGAAACATTGTATGAATCGGTCTTAATATGTGCAATAATACGTGAATCTTAAGGAGAGGATATCTTTGAAGCAAAAAAATAGCTGTAATAAATCGCTTGCGAGAGACATAAATGAATTAACTCATTAAAATGTTTAGCTCTAGTTTCCACATGGATTTTGCGAAAAAAATTGAGATATTTTAAATTGCAAATAATTTGTTTATATGAGATATAGAATAATAAACAATCGTTTTTTTATATTGTCACGATTCAATCACCCATACGCAAAATTTTGAGATGCCAACGGTATTCTCCCTCTTTAATTATTTCTTTATTGATTGAAACAGAAGCGAAAAAATTTAAGTGACGATAAAAAAAATTTTCGATTTAAAAAAATTTTTTTACATAATCAAGTAGATTTTTGTTAACAAAATTTAAATTTAGTTGTAAATAAATTAATATAAATATATTATATTATATTATATTATAAACATATCTAGATAAATTATTTACAAATATAGATAATTTAGAGAAAAAAACTTCTTGATACCGTATTCGTAGTAAAACAAGAAAATTTTTTTTTTATTACTCTAACAATTAGTGAAAAAATATTTTTACAACTTTAAATATTTCACTTTTTCATCTTATATAAAACTAATGCTAAACTAGTATTAAATAGTAAATTCATTTATATTTATCGAGCAATTTATCAGAAGTGATTTATCCATCTGTTTTGCGGCTTCAAAGATATCTACCTCTTTAATTAATTGTCTTGTTTATCAAATCAAATATTTTGCAATTCATCAATAAATGCACAATTTATTAAATGATTATCTGAATTTGACAATATGATGAACACTTTGCTGTGCAGTAATTTATTACTCTCAACAAAGCTATTACGTTATTCATTAATATCTCTTACATCGTTTTTGCGGTCCTTAAGTGTATATAAGTAACAAGCCTCCTCTCTTTAACTTTAAAACAGGCTGTTTCCGTGTGGGAAAAATGTTTCATGGAAGAGATGCGTTAATTGAGTTTCGAGAAAAATGGTCGAGAGCATTTGGCAGGCGAACAAAATTCGAAATGAGAGAGAGAAAATTAACGTTCGCAGTTTTTACGCACGCACGAATCGTAATGTCAAGAGAGATCACGAGATTGTCGGATTTGCTTAATAATTCGCGATTTCGTCGATGCCATGTATTTTTGCTCAAACATGATATTTATCATTCATCCGAACAATTACATTGTAATCATCTCTGTATCTGTCATGGGAGAAAATGTATATATTACATAATATTACATATATAAGAAATGCAATCATCAACGAGAGCTGAGTAAATCGCATATCCGGGTATTATAATTCACAGGTAATTACAATCGTAACACGATATTATTGTTCGAATCGGAATGTAAATCTTTGTACCATGACGTTAATCTCGAGCCCCCCTCCCCCTTTTCTGTAGGAATTCCGCGGATCCACCAGAGCGATGGTCCAATTTAGTATCATTTACAACTCAAAAGATACTAAAATATTTCCGGCATACGATTGTATTTTCCGATGATGAATGATATGAATTTCAGGAATTTATTTACGAATGCAATGGCGCGCAATTTTTTTAAATTAAAATTAAAATTGCCATTTATTTTATTACATCTCTTTCAATTCATTACAGAAAAATCATTAGATTTGTATGGTTAAAAAACATTTATTTTACAGTAAAAAATATTTACTTATTTTAATAATAAAATTATTATTTATAAATTATTGTATATCTTAATAGAAGAGAAAAGTATCCATGAAATTTATAATGTATTGAATTGTTTTTTCAATCTTGCGTTCCGTATTAATTTACACTAATTATTTTTTATTAATTATTTCATATAAATAAAATATATTTTGACAAATAATATTATATAATTTTATTAAAATTTTTAGATATGCTACATCTATCTTGTTAGAAGAACTACTTCCAACAAGTTTCTGTAGTGTAGTGGTTATCACGTGTGCTTCACACGCACAAGGTCCCCGGTTCGATCCCGGGCGGAAACATCTTTTGTCGTCGTGCGATTTTTTTTTATGATTTACAATTTTATGTATTCTTTTTTTCTTTTTAATCCAATCTAAAAATTACGCACGTACTTTACATTATTAATAAATTATCTTTATGTTTTTTTAGTTTAATATATACATATATATATATATATATATATATATGTTCAAGCATTCACTCTAGAAAAATGAAGTGATTTTAACGAACACGAGTTCAACTGTCAGGATGGCCGAGCGGTCTAAGGCGCCAGACTCAAGGTTCACACCTTCTCGGTTGAAGACCGAGTTTCCCGGGCTTTCTGGTCCTCTCTGAGGGCGTGGGTTCGAATCCCACTTCTGACAAATTCTTTTGCATATGACAACAATATAGGGAAAAGTAAGTGTTTACGAATTTGTTTAAAAAATTGCACAATGTTTTTTTTATATTTTATTTGCACTTTATTAAAGAAAAAATTTTCCGAGAAAATTTATTATTCATTATAACTTATTTTTTATACATAAGGTGTATATATTTATGTGTATGTGTATTTATAGGAAGTTTGATAATTATTTATCTAAATCTTTTACACATTAAATAAATTTAATATATATTTTATTATGTGAGTGCGTGTTATATAGCTTATTGAAACAGTCTGAAGCAAGTGTCAGGATGGCCGAGCGGTCTAAGGCGCCAGACTCAAGGTTCATAACCTTCTCGGTTCGAGACCGAGTGGATGGGCGTTCTGGTCCTCTCTGAGGGCGTGGGTTCGAATCCCACTTCTGACAAATCTTTTTGGTTATCGAAAATATATTTTGCAATTATTATTTTCACATTAATAATCGATAATATATAAAAACAATAAATTTTTTGTCAAATATGCATTGATTAATTTTTGACAGCTTAATTCTCTTTATGATAAATATTTTTTATCACGCTTCCAAGAATCTTTTTTTTATAATATTATAATACACATATAATATTTATACCAGATATCACCAGTTTTATTACAATTGTCTATAATAATAATTATATTATTGGATATAAGAGATAGTAATTTTATTTATTGTGTGTTAACAGTAACAAAACAGTCTCTTAAAATGGATTTTTGTTGGATTGTTGTAATAAGGCATTATAGAAAACTAACGATATTATATTCTAGATATATAAAAATATTTCCAATGCATAAATATATTAAAATTAATGTACAATAGTTCACTATTTCTTCAATTTTCAAGAAGACGTTTCCATAATCCGGTATGGTCTAGTGGCTAGGATACCTGGCTCTCACCCAGGAGGCTCGGGTTCGATTCCCGGTACCGGAATTTATTTTTTTTTTCAGGTAATAAAAAGTATTATATTTTTAATTTAATTTAATTTTTATTTAAATATATGTTATATATAATTTTACAATTATAACAAGTGTAAAAATTATGTATTTAAAGTCTATAATTATATATATATAAAAATTCTCACGCAATTATTTTCCGTTCTTACCGGCCGTGAATCACAATCATCGTTACATAAATTCAAAGCGCGATTGACTGCTCTAGAGCAACGTGTGTGTAAATCGTCCTACAGTAAAACACACATCATTAAATTTGCAAATCGAGTCGCTTATTTCTTTAAGTGGAAAACGGCAGATCGTTTCAGACGCTTGTCAATCGCGACTTGATAAATTATCCCGGTTATTTGCCTCTTTGTAGTAAAACAATCTGTCAAAGCGAGCGAAACGGGGATAAGGACATCGCGGGGAAGTGCATCGCTGCAATTACCGGCACTTTAGTAAATTATCGACGGAGAGGAATAAGTGAGGGAAACGGCGCACTTGTGTCGCGACGAGCGGGAAGGTCTATAATTCGAAGAAGCAGCAATAAAATTGCGTGTCTGCTTTATCCGAGACGGGTGAGTTTTTCGCCAAGCTATTCATTTATAAACGACCCTCGATGCAACGCTTAAACGTAAACACTGTTCGAGGAGCTGCACCCACGCAACATAGGCCTCTTATGCCCTAGCACGAGTCCCTTATCGTTGTCGCAGTCACGAAGGAATCGCGTAGGAATGTCGCAAAAAACGGCCCGTAACCGTTTGGACCAATTCCGAGAATTAAGTGCTCTGCACATCACTTATCTCAAGTGAGGATACGCTTTATATATATTCCATTTTTGACAGTTCAATTCCTTGTGATTAATATTTTCAAGAATCTTTGTTTTCTCTTATAATGTATATTTTATAATATATAATTTGAAAATTTATCTCCGCCATCTTGTTTACGTCATCATCTTCTCATTTTGTATTTTACGTTTATAGGTACATTGGCTTATGGGCTGTTGACTCCGATTCGTCTGCATTGTTAAAATGTTTATACTTCGCGTATAACAAGTTTATTCTGACAATTATGCTCGTCTTCATGGTGACTCTGCTGGCTGACATTTGTTCGAGCTTCGACGACCTGTCAATCGTTACGGATGATGGATGCATCTTCGCCGGGATCGTCGTCGTGTTTTTCAAAGTGATGATCTTCCAAACACGTCGCGCGCAGATCGTGCGATTGCTGCGAGAGACTATCGACGGCTGCGATCAACTCTGCAAGTTTCCCGGTAAGTGAAAAAATTTGCTGGTATTCGTGTAACGAGCATTTAGATGTACGAAATTGATACGGTGAAGGAATTCAGGAACCACCATGTAAAATGTGTTCCACGTTAAATATGCGCCATGTAAATATGCTCGGAATTTCACTCCACATCTTTTTTTATGTATATTGTACAATTTCTGTATGGCTAAAGAGGTAATTATGCATCACTAACTGTTCTTAAGTTGAATTAAATTATTGTCAGTTAAAAAAATATATGCAAAACGGCTTTAAGAATTTTTCCAGGATACTCTAGCAGTGTGAAAAATTGATAATTTTTAGGAATTTTTCTTGAGGAATATTAGAAATTAATTCTTTTTAACATTTTTCTCGATGTTTAAACAATACGTTAGTATTTTTAAATCCTGGATATTTAGTTATTTTTATTCAATATTCGCTTTATTCAATATTTTTATTCAATATTTTTATTTCAATATTTTTATTCAATAATTTTTTATTTGCTCCTCATATAATTATTTGAAACGAAAAAAATATTCTATAAATATATAAAATATATATTATATATTTATATATTTTATATATTTATAGAATATTTTTAAATTAAATATTTCAATTTTCTAAAATGTTTTTACTTCTTGAAATGAGAAAAATAATATATTAAATATTAATTTTTTAAATTTTAATTAGGTTCTAATTAGGTTCACTACCTCAACAATATTCTATGGAATAAAATTATATCGAGTTTTTTCATTTTAGATAATTATGAGAAGCAGCATACCATCGTTGTTGAATACATTATGCACTGAAATTCGTATTGAACGAATAAAAAATTAAATATCCAAGATTTATATATAAACATATTAATTTTATGTTTTCATTAAAAATATATTATTTATAAATTATATTATATATATAAATATAATTTATGTACAATATCGATATTATATATAAATCGATAAATATAATTTAAATATAAATTTCGACAAAAAAAATTTGTAAAAGTCAAAAGAGAGTGGACTGGGCCCTTAGAAAATGCTGAGTCACATATAAATGTATATTCTATTAAGTAAACACCATGACAGGAAAGTACGTAATTTCGTGATTTAATGAGACCCGTGCGTCGAAAAGGACAGTGCAAAAGGGCCATTTTTCAGCTCGTCGAGTTCTTCGTTAATTCAGAACTACTTGAATAATTCTTCCTCCGTCAGTCCTATCTCCTCGACACGCGATTAAAGATCTACGCGCAGAATTACTCGACAGTTTGCATAATCACGCTTGATATATACATCTGTGGTGACATGTGACGTTTCTTTGAAACTGTATATCACGTTTCGCTAATTCTAATATCGTATCGCAGAAAATACACACCAGCAATGATCATGACTAAGATTGTACTTTCCCTTTGAATCCCTATCTTCTCGGTCATACATTGATATTTATAACAATTTGAAATGCATCATTTCAATATTAATTTTTTCATTCATCATAGCTGTAAATTGCAGATATTTATGTTTTTATTCTATATGAATTTTTGATTTAATTACATGACTCAAGTTGGCGATGAGGGCGAGATCCTGGGCAAGTACCTGCTGCTCTCTCGCGTAACCTTTTACGGGTTCAGCACGCTGGCCGTTTTCCTCGTGATCGCCTTGCTCTTCCTCGTGCCCGTGGAGGACGGCGAACTTCCGGTCAGGGCACTGTATCCCTTCGACACGACCAAGTACCCGTGGCACGCAGTCGGCTTCTTCGTCGAAGCCTGCACAGTCTCTATCGGCATGACAGCCATCATCGGGATGGACAGTTTGCATACCAACCTTTGCAATCTGTTTCTCGTGCATCTCGGGATCTTGAACGAACACTTCAAGAGCTGCAGCAGCAACGGAATCGAGCGAGACGATTTAGGCTTTCGTTTCAAGATCTCATCTTCTACGGTCGAGGAAAGGAACCGCGAAAAAGATAATTACGATTCGGACGAGATTCGTCGCGGCAGCAGTAACGTCTTCGTCGAGCGGTTCAGGAGATCTATCCGCAATCATCAACGTCTGCTCGCTATAATAGACGACTTCAACAAGGTATTCAGCGCCGGCATGTTCGTTCAGATGCTCTCGAGCACCTCGATGATTTGCCTAACCGGCTTCCAAGCCGCTTTGGTAAGTCATGATAAGTCAAAGTACCATCGCGGTCAAATCGTGATCAAAGCCTCGCTTTGTTTGGACCAGGTCGTGGGCCAGAGATCCAACATCTGTAAGTTTTCGATATACCTGGCGGCGGCGGTCTCGCAGCTCTTCTACATCTGTTGGATAGGAAACGAAGTAATATATCAGGTACAATTATTTCTCCCGTAATATAATAGCTTCTTTCTATTATAATAAATACTGTACTCTTTCATTAATTATTTACACCGCTTTGAATTATATATAAAAGAGATTTTATAAATTCATTTAGAACGGGTTGTATTTTAATGCTACATTAAGTGTGTGATTGGAATTTTTTACCTATATTAAAACGATAAAATGTTGTATATGTAACATTTACTCTCTCATGTTCACATCCAGTATTAATACATGATCAAGGAAAAGTTAGAAAGTTAATATAATATCAATTACATCTAATATATATATATATATATATATATATATATATATATATATGAATCTTTATATATACAATTCCTACAAGAAATTACTACCTATAATTAATACGATTCGTTATTAATTTCGGAATTATAATATATATATATAATTAACTTTCTCATCGCATTAAATTAATGATCTTGCAGAGCGCGTTGCTAACTCAAAGCCAGTGGCTCTCGGGATGGAGTGATGAACTTTCCTCCAAGACCGGACGTCTGATAAATCTATCCATGATATTTACAAAGAAAACGTTAAATCTGAAAGCAGGTGTCTTCTATGTCTTATCTATGGAAACATTCATTGCGGTGAGTTTAGAAGATGATAATGTTTGATTATCTTTATGTTTAGACTGATATATCAAGCGATACGATAAAGAAGCACGAGATCGTGATAATTAGACGAAATTAAAATCACCCGATCATAAATGCTCAGCAAGCACAAAATTTAATTTATAGATAATTAATTTAGATTGATTAGAACCGGATCTTTCTTTCACGCGATCACGCAAACTTTTCAATTGCGAGCGAAATTTATTGTTAGCTAGAGATATTTGTAAAAATAAAATATGATTTAGGGATTCGAGATAACTTGTATATTTTACTGAGACATTAGATGAATTATTATTTCGATCTCTCTTTATTATGTGTAGGTGTGATATTTTGTTTCTTTTTGAGAAACGATTCTTTTTCTCATTGCTTTCTCTCATGGCGAGTCGATGCTAATATTTTTTATAAGAATATCGGACGAAGAAGCTGAAGAGCGACTGCTATGAATAATATTCCATAAGAATCTAGAAGGAACAAAAAGAGCAAAATGCACATCTCTCGCGCAAAGAGAGACGATGCATGTCTCCGCCCATCCGTTATGAACAACCATATATTAAATCGATAGTCTGCGATTGTCTGATACAACAAAATGCCTAGAGACAAAACGTCAAAGTATATAAAGTTTTAATAGTATCGAGCACTCATGTATTCAAAGATACTCACCTGATATATGAGGATTATCCAAAAATAATTTACGATCGATTATAATAATGATTGGTCAACTTGGAAAGTAGAGTTGCAGAAGACTTAAGACAAGACAATAGTCAAGATAATAAATAACAATAATTAAATAATAAACAATAATAAAAATTATTATATATGAAAATAAGAAATAAAATTATATATATAATAATGATATGAAAATTTTCGAAAATTTAAATTTCCTCTTGAGTAAGAAAAAGATTTCTTTGTAGCAAAATCTATTGTTTTATAATATTAATTATTTTTATTTGATGCTGACTAATATTTAAAATAATATTTAACATAAGTTTGAAAATATAATTTAAGATAATTATTATTATCAAATACATTTATGTCATTTTCTAATTAATTTTAATTTAATATAAATATAATGACTTTTTCTCATGTAATAATTCACCAATATATATATATATATATATATATATATATATATATATATATGAACTTTCTTAATTTTGAACTCTTGGTATTGCCTTGACAATTAATTATAAATTTTATTTTAAAAATTTAATTTGTTGTTTCGAATTTCGAGAAAGAACATTTGGTCTCAATTTGAAAATGAAATAATGGCTACATGAAATATTTCATTAGATTTCTTGTAATAAATACGTTCTTTTTGATGTGCATTTGTCAGTCGCGATTTATCACGATATTTACACGAAAGATCAATTGATAATTTATGCCAATTTTTTTACAGATTCTAAAAGGCTCGTATTCCTTCTTCACTCTGCTGACTACTATGGAAAACGATCAGTGATTCCGACAACCTCTCGGCTTTAGTTATCGTGTAGCGCAATCTCAGAATTCGATCACTAGCGAAGAATATTGGAACAACATGACTAAAAACCAGCTGCAACACGTGTATCGTCGATCCGGAATAAAGTGAGTTTACCATTTATTGTTACCTTGTACAAAATATATCAAATATTTTGTTTTATCAAATGAAGTTGTTGAAATATAAGAGAAAATTGACGAAGCAGTAACTGCAAGTCGTAAATACTTGGAATTAGAAATTTTAGAAATAATTATAGAAATCGTTATATTAATATATGTAATCTCACGATTAATAATGTGGAAAATGACTTTTATTGATATATTTACAATGTATTAATATTACATTTTGAATATTTATTCGAATTATTAAAATAATATATTATTAAAATAATATATCTAATATCATAAAAATATAAAATCGAAACTAATTTAACAGAATAATGTTCCTCTAGTTTGTATAATTTATTATATTAAATATACATAGTATATTTATTATACATAAGAGGAAATGATTGAATTTTTATAAATTTTTACTATTTATTAGTTAGAGCGAATTGATAAATGTCTGTGTACACAGAATTTATATCTTGATCCGCTAAGAGAGACTGCTCAATGTTAGAATCATCGTAAGATCGTGTCTGTGAAACAGGTTGGCGACAAGTTGACAGCTTTTATGATTATGGATCCGCCGAAAACAGGATCCTATTCTCGAGTCGTGCAATCAGGCTGCAACAGCGACAACCTGACCGATCAATTACAATCGTAGTTGTCGGATCTGACGGTTGGTTGTCACATTTCGTCGTGAAATATCATATTGATAGCAATCAAAATCTGTATAGCTCGGTCAGTGCAGGTGATCGTCAAACATATTTTGCATAGGAAGTGATCGCTCTTGTTTTTTTATAAATATTCCGCAGGGTTACAAGTATTATTAGGATTTGATTTGCAACTAAAAACTAAGATAAAATTCTATTTATAATTTTATATGTCACAATATGTCTTAATGTCTATATATATGTATATGTGTGTGTATTCTGATATATTTTGTAATTTAATTTTTCAAAATTGTCTGCATTATATGACATTACGATGTAAAATTGTAAATGGAATTCTGTTTTGAATTTTATCGCAAATTATAAATATCTATAAAGTGGATTTTAAAGAAGAGAAAAACGATATGAATCAATTGGCGCTATCTTTAGTTGAGACAAAATTCATGGAATAAATCGTATATTAAATAACGATATATTTTTATATTATTTTATTTTATATTAAAATAACGATATATTTTTATATTATTTGCATTAATAATTGTTTAATAAAAAAATAATTTGTATAATTTTAATAGATTTGATTTCTACGATTTTGTTTAGTAAAGATAGTTTATTTAGATTCTCGTTTTCTATCAGGCACTTTGTAATCATTGATTGCGACGAAGTCAGAATTTCAAAGATTGTCATAATTAGATACACGATTTCATATAATTCACGTCGTGGCACGCGATCGGGGGGGCAAAAATCGAAAATGAGAATTAGCTTTCCTATCGCGATTCCGTTAGCCAATTGATTGAAGTGCGTTTTTCTAACGAGGACCGCGCATTTTCAATCGCCCACCAATACTCCGCAAGTGTGTTGTTGAATATTAATAAACAGCGAGAGGGGGATAGTTCGACGGACGAATTTCCGAGGTAATCACGCGCGATGTACACGATTAGATTCTTAATTAACTTCATTAAACACTCCGCGCAATTAATCGTCGATTTTGACACGCTTAATTAAGTATTTGTGTGGTAGCCACGAGGTCGGCATCGCGACTCATCGATAAATATCGGCACTGATAATTCACGAAATGAAATCGCGCAGATCCCCGTAGATAGGACCGCCTTATTCTCGGCTTGCAAATAAGGTAACACGCGGACGCTATCGGACGGAAAGATCGACATGACGCGGTCACGACGCGTGAGGCTGGCGAGATCCCGAAAATCCAGTTTTGAAAATCTCTACGTCCTCGACTTGCGATTCAAGGTCATAATTTCTTAATCTCTTTCCACAGTGTTAAGCATATACATATTTAAGAAGTCTACTTTCTGCACGGGAAGCGATCTCTCTCATTTTTTTCATGATTATCTCGCAGATTATCGATGTGAATATTATATCCCGTTTTATTTATTCTCTGTAAAAAAGAAAGAAAATGTCGAATGACTGGCGCTCTTCGTAAAAAAATATTTTTACGTGTGGTTAGCATAAGATTTTTCTTCCATCATCACTCACAATGTAATGTACCAAACTGCACAATTAAAGATTATTATTATTATTAGTATTGTTTTAAAGTTTCTGAATATTTTTGCAAGATACATTACTGTAATTTTTCACAATTGAACGTCAGTAGTATTTTAATCGCAAATAATAATTTTTTGACACATCATCCTTAGATACGCAACAATCTTACTCTCGTTCCCATCGCTAGCTGGAAAACTCGCTACCAGTGCTTTATCCAGAAGTAGGAGTATCGTTAAAAATTGAGACACGGGAGATCAAACGTCGTTTATCATGCTCATCGTATGGCAGTAAAGAGGGAATTAAGCGCGGTAGCCACCAGAGAGTTCGTCGGCAATTAACGAAAGGCCGCGTCTTGATTATCACCTGTTTCTGATCGGAGCGAAACTTCACCTTCCGTGAGCTCTCGCGGTTTGCGGCGTCCCAACGAAAGGAAGAAGACGAGGCAATAATACGTGCCGTGAGACGTGGATGATTATTATGAAAAGAAAGAGAGAGAAAGAGAGAGCCCCGGAGCACTACGAGTGCCACCATGAATTTTTCTCGATGCGACTAAAAAGCCTTGTCGACGTTCTCCGGGATGAGAAGAAGGCGAGGGATCGAGGGGTCGAGGGGGAGATTCAGGAGTCAATCAGCTGTGTCCGCTAATATCTTCCGTTTCATGGGCATTTGTTACATCTTTTTCAAATGGTGTATCGGCGTGATTATAGGGAGAGATAGAGAGCTCTCACGCATCGTGCAAGTGGAATTCATCGACCGGCGCGACCGTTCGCTTACATGATGTGTAATTGAAATTTTTCTTAATCTTGCTTACGATGCACGCTCGGGGTCGACCTACGCGGTATATATTATATATCCCGTCGATCGTTTAGTTTCAATAGATGATTAGATTGATCATTTAATTGATATTTTTCTCGCGCAATTGATTTTTATATATAATTTATGTTTAATTAAATTTAATTTTTCTCGCTCAATTGATTTTTATATATTTTTTTTCTTATATAAAACACATTTTTTTTTATACAAGTTTGTATGCTTTGTTGACAGATATATGTATATTTATTTTTAACTTTCATATAATTTGCTATACACTTTGCAAAGAATATTACATAATTTCATTAGAAATTATATAATATTCTTTGAGTGACTATTTTTATTTTGAAAAAATTATAGATACTACATGGTATGATTTATTAGATACATATGTATGCATTTATAAAATATAACAGGTTATCATTTCTATATTTAAATAATTTTATTTTTATTAATAAATAAATAAATGAAAAAAAATATATATATATTTGAAATATATTGAGATCGAGTATCATATGTGCACTATTGGAATTTCACATAGATGCAAAAAATTTAACCGCAAATCGGAATTTATTTCGCGAAACTATGAGAGATGCACGTACATCGGCCAATTAACTCGTACAATGACATTGATATATCGACGTAAGCTTCAACTAAGAATCGTTTGACACATTGCCTCATTCAAGTACGTTCAATATAAATATTCCGGTCAATATTTTCGTGTCGAATATAATTTATAATTAAAATGTAAATCGAGACGGCGCAAAAACGCAATTCATTCCCTTCATTACTTTATCCGCGAGTCAATATTATAATGTTATAATATGCATACGTACATATTAATTAAGTGATCAGTTAACATAATTTCGATAAATGGGGTCGATAAGAATTCAAATTGGAAATCTATTTTACGTCTGTAAAGTATGTCAACTTTGACATATGTACATATAAAACATGGAGCTATCAATTAATCTTAAATAACAAATTAAAAAATATTAATTCTAATAAATATTCCTATCGTTGCATGTTATTAATTATTAATTTAGAAGCGGGCAAGTTTAATTAGATTAATAATCGAAAAATATAGTGATTATAGTGATTATAGTGATAATATTCAAAAAACGCGTTTTTTTTGACAAATTAGAAAAATTCGCTTTTTCCTTAATTAATATCTGATTAAATATTAAATCGAGATCGCTTTTTTGCAACACTTTTAATATTTTCGAAACTAAATATTTTATTAACGATTTTCTTCCTTAAATTCCTATTTATTTAAATCTAGCTAAGTGTGGTTGAATTGTATGCTTTTGTACACTATTTATTTGTCAGTTCAAAATCGAAGCCTTCTATCCAATGAGTCGCTTACTTATGCATTAAGTCTGACATTCGTCTCTCCGTTCAGTCAATGAACTTCAACTACATTTCAGGTTTCGTGTAAAGTGGTAAACGTAACACCAGTGGTTCTGTCAATCACCGCGAGATACTTGGCATTATGCGCGAGACAGCAAAGTGGGCATACGCCTTCAAAGTCGAGCCAGTCACACATAATGGACTATCTCGTCTTCTCGCCCAGAGAGAAGGCGAAGCGAGAGACGCTGTTCCTCCTCGCGTATTTCTCGGGGCCCTCGCAAATCCCGCCGGTGTTCGCTTCCTAGACAGATGGTCGCTTCGCCACATGTTGCCTAACTGTAGACTGCCTTTAAGTACCATTCCTGCTGGTGGTATCGAATACTTCTTGCCGGTCATTGTATAGCATCTTACGGCTAACGTTGTATGAATTTAGCGTTCGCGTCAAGTTGCACGCTACCACCGTAGAAAATGCGACCGTTCAAGATCGTTTCCGGCATATCTTTTTATATATATTTAGAAAGATTAATTTTTTTCATATACATACATTTTAAGTAATTTAAAATATTTTTATACATAAACGTGATATTTTTTCTTTCTCAAATGTGGATATTTTGAATTTTAAAATTTAGTATATATATTTATTAAGATCATATATCAGCTGATTTATTGTCATCTTGAAATATTATTTTAGAGAATTGCTATTTAACGCTTATGAAATAATTTTACGTCAAATATTCTATTTCTCGGACTTTTAATTAATTATTAAATTATTAAATTTATTAGTTATTAATTTATTAATTTATTAATTATTAAATTTATTCGATTCGTACATATTATTTCATGTTTTATATATATTATATTTATTTTCCGTTGTTAAATTATTTGATTTGATAATTCGTACGTTTTTATTTAATCATTTATTCAATACAATAAATTAAAGTTTCCAGATTGGATTCCTTGACTTATACGTATTATTGTTACAACACGTGTATTGTGATTGACTCGTAGTCGCTTTGTTGTCATTCGTGCGGCGAAGGTTGAACGTACAGGTAGCGAGACACATTCCATGCGTCATCCCATTACTCTCAGAGCAAGAACGCGAAGAGGATCGAGAAACGCCAAACGATCGTTCTTTACGACTGCTACAATTAGCGATCATTAATTTGCACAATTAATTAACCTTCGCGATTAACGACTTATAAAGGAGATAATAACTTTTTCTCTAAATATATATGTACTTTACGCGATATAATTACTTAAAGTAAGAATCAAAGTGATATAGAGATAATTAATCATGCAAACAGAATAATCGTTAATTGTAGCAGTTGTAAAAAATGATTTGATACGTTGAATGATGTACCTGTCTTATCGCGGATTCTCGTCGTGTGTTAATTAGCTTTTGAAAGTGTCGCGTAAAATATCGCATAAATGTATATCGCGCATTTAACGGGTATACAAGACTTATAAGGCTTTAATTGATATTGGGTTAATGAGTCGACTAGGATAATTTAGCTCGATTTTCGCACGTGTGACAAAAGAGATCGATCCCCCCATTTCTTAGATTGTCTATATCGTTAGCATCGGAAATGAGTACCTTTCTCTCTCGTCGCGTCTACCTGCCGCTATGATATCGTATAGTGCTCCAGGTGTCTCATAATGAATCGTGGCCAAGTGAATTCGAGTCCGAGATGCGAATACGCTCGGAGACGAGAATTGGGATGAACCTCATCACGTTTTATCGAGTGATTCGTGCGCGATTGTAATTAATTATATTTAAAGAGTGCAACAAATTATATCAAGAATATAAAACAAGGTGGAGACTTGGGAAATATCTAGTGAAGCGATCCTGAGGTGAATATAAAATGTATTACTTATATATGTCTGTTACTGTAAATCATTTTAATTTATTTTGCAATATTTAGACGTTTTCCGTTTATTATTATTATTATTATTTATTTGCTATTTTCAAAATTATTTCCCCAGCTATTGTATGACACGATTTTTTTACTTTTCTTTACGCATTGTTATATTATGTTATATGTATAAAATATTTTTTGCATATTTAAAATTTATAATTATTTATACAAAAATTAAATATTTATTAAATATTATATGTGCAGCTTATATATATAAAAACTTTTTTTGAAGAAATCATGTGTGTACTTGTTAAATATATTTAAAATGCTAAATATATTTGAAAAACAAATTCAATTTTTGTGCATATTATATGATAATGCATTTATATGATAATTATTTTTTGTAATATTAATAATTTTGAACATTATTCTAATATTTGAATATATTTGTATGTTACAGGTCACATACACAACGTGCGTAATTTCGCTGCAACGCATCCAATCGGTGAGTTAAATTATTCCTTTATTTCATTCTTAGGATGAGATCGATTTATGAAGATTATGTATATATATGTTTAAAAAATAATCAAAGGGTAAAAGTTTCTTTTTCTTGATTATCAATAAGAATCATAATTTTTAATGAATATGGACGCAACAATAATATATAAGTGATTAAAATGTTAATTTATTTTTATAATTATATTTAAAAAAGTAAAAATTTAAATGAAAATTTAAAATATATAGTAAAAAGTTTAAATACAATATCTATATTATACATATATATACATACAAAATCTTATAAATATCTTTATCCTATGTTCTTGAAATAGATTAAGAAAAAGCGCAAATATTTATATACATTACGTATATTATTCATTTTATTATTCTCACATATGCATGATATACATTTATTTTTAATGATTCAATTTTGTTGCCATATCGAGATATCTTTTCGAAATAATCGAAAATGATTGATTCGGATAAAGCAATCTACAAATAAATACGAAGAATGCATTTTAAAATGGAATTTTTAGACATATATGAATCTGTCATTTCCTCTAGCTATCTAGCATCGATGCAAAACGGTAAACTCTCATTTCATATTACTTTCACCGCTCTCGTCACGCTAATTATAACTAAACAAGTATGAGTTTATGATTCGTTAAGCGATTTAAGATCGCTTTAACACCAGAAAGAGAATACAAGCGTGCTTTCCGTACATATTAGCGACGTGGTGTCGTATAAGAAAGCCGTAAGAGAAGCGCTCTCGAACACGACAAAACGTTCGACGTTATTTCGGATATAATTCGCAACCCGCTTTTACGCGAGGATCTCCAATAATTAGCGCACGCCATGCTATAAATATCCTCGGCGACAGATTGCATTAACGGGATACCGCAAAACGCAGCAGGGGAGGCATCATAGTCGAAATTTTAATAACGGTTAATAGCGGTTACATTTCCTGAAGAGGACGAAGCGCGACAGGACGAACTTATGGATTAAAAACTTCTTGCGTGAGAGCGCACGAGCGGGCAATTTTTTCACTTATCTCGCACATTTCATCTAACGGAGACATAAATCCGACGTTGAGACCGGCGTCGTTTGTACTGCCGCGTTCCTTTAAGTGGTTCATTCGCAAAATACGGTCGTACCATCTTTTTATACATATGTACATACGTGTCCTGTGAATCAGCCGCATCCTTCTTCCTTCGCACTTCCACTTTGCTCGAGCAAAAATGCGACGCCTTCGGGAAATAACGTAACATTATTGGAAAAAATTGATGATACGGATAATTTCTATAATCGAAGACACAAAAATCAGGGATAAATACATATAATAAGTGCGATAATGTTATCTTGTTACGACATATGATTTTAAATAGCCAGTCTACTCTAGTACTATGAAATTATTTTTAGGAATTTTTTTTTAAATATTAGCAATTGATCTTTTTTTGAGTATTTCACTTATATTTTTATTGATATTTAAGCAGTTCGTCAGTATTTTTAAATCTAGGATATTTAGCTTTTTTATTCAGTACGAGCCTCTGTGCATAATACATCAAAAATTGTTCTTCTTGTGTGTAATTGACTGAAATAAAAAAATTTGATTTAGTTTTGTTCCGTAAGATATTTTTGGAGTACTGAATTTAATTTCATTTAAAAAAATTGACAAATAAAAAAGTGTTATTTTAAATTTAGATGTTTCAATTTTGCTGAAATCTTTTTAATTTCTTGAACGTTAGAAAAATATATTAAATGTTAATTTGTTAAATTCTAATCAAATTCCATATTTTAAAAATATCCTACGGAATAAAAGTAGAATTTTTTCAGATAATCATCGACAATTTATTTATTATTTTATTATTTTTTTGAACAAAAGAACATTTAAATATCCGAGATTTAAAACTATTTAAATATCTATGAAAAACATATGTAAATCTCTGAAAAGATTAATTCCTTTATAAAAAAATTCTCAATAAAAATCACCAATTTTTTTATTTAAATTGGTAGAGTAGACTCTTAATGAAGATACAAGGGGGGGCGGACAAATGGACGAGATTAACCGCTATGAATTTTTAACGACGATAAACACACGCGTTTTCTTTCCATTCTCTTGTTCGCTCTTCAATCTTATTCCGAGAATTAACAGTCAGGTGGGTGCAGGCGAACCAAGGGCGGAAACGATGACAAAAAAAGGAGAGAAAAGAGGAAAATAAAAGAGCGAAGGGGCAGATCGTATTCTGCACGTGACGGTGACAAATTGCTGCATCTTCTACATCTTGCATAAAAAAAAAAAGAAAAAAAGAAAGCAATGACGCTCCCCGTTTGCCGCTACGTTTCCATGTGGGACACGAATTCGCACTTTCTCGACACGCGGAAGGAAAATAAAAAAAAAAGCGGCAAACGCGCGCGGTGGAGGACTCGTTATTGTGCATAAATCTCTCAGATTACTCGAGATTTATGGCTTTTTCGTACACAAGCCGTATACGGTGCCGTCTTGCGTTCAGCCGCTTCCTCGCCGCCTCTTACGCGCTCTTTCCCTATCATCCTTTGACCTCTTGGACCCCCGGCTTCTTTTCATTCGCGCGAACGTAAGTCTTCACTTGACAGAAGCGTCTTTGAATGACAAATGGAGTCGTTTAGTTTATAAAGCGTATGTCAAGTGTTAATACCGGTATGACAAGTTATAAGAGCGAGGATTAAAGATACATGAAAATGAAACAGGTTTGTGTAGGATTTTTGCGATTTTTAAAAATATTTTTCGTTTTTTAATATTCTTAATATAATTGCTTTTTAAATATAATATTTAGAATAAATAATCAAATTGCATTCCCACTTTTACGTTATGCTTATCCCTCGTACGTATATAATGAATAGCTTCTATTATTTTTTTACTCATCACAAGAAGCGCTTTGTACGATCCAGATATTCATATTTAATCTTCTTAAAACAACGATAAATTCCTAAATAATTTCTTCTTGCGTCGCAATTATTTATTCTAAAAATATATTTATTCGAAAATAAATAAATATATTTATTCGAAAATAAATAAATATATTTATTCTAAAAATTATAGTCACCTCTTATTCATTTCACCAGAAATTTCTCTGTTTTCGAAGTTCCATTTTGTCGCAGACTGTTTTAAAAATCGAGTCTTCGGTTCAGGAATCAATCGGAGATATTAGTGTACCATGCTATTACGAGACACGCGAGACGTTTGACCCGAATCTAATAATTCACATGCGAAATCTCACAAATTAAGATAAGCGCGCTGACGACGATTTTTGCACCGTTAATTCTCTCTCTTTCTCTCGAGAAGTCTGCCTTTCCTCTTCAAAGAGACGCACCGACAATGAGCATAAATCTTGACCACGACCGATATCGGACCTTTTCTTTTTTTTTTTTATGTATATTCGCGTGACCCTCGTCCCTGATATGGCGTTTGAGCATCACCGTTTATCGCATTCCGTCGAATCCGACTTAAAATGCGGCGCTAAATTTAATCAATTTTATCGAGGGAGAAAGTAGGGGAGGAGAATAAGCGACGAAAAGCCGTCGCACGGTTTATCGGGGTTACATCGTGAGTGCATTCGCGAAAAAGAGGAGCGCCGATTATCCATTAATTACTTTCCGGGTGGCCGTGATGATTTTTGTGTCAATATCCTCTCCTTCTCTTTCTTTCTCTACTGACGAAAGTATCAGAACAGCCATCTGCATAGCCGGTTAAACGAATGAAAACTGTACCTCTAATTGCGTGGCGGGTGGGCCCCGAATATTGACGCTTCTCCATCGACCCCTCTGGCCTGCCAATGTATCGCTGGTCCACGAAATTTGATTTTACGTCAATATTCATAAGCTGTGATCGGGACGGGGAGATGTCATTAAAACGCCCATGAAATTATCAGGGGGCACATTGTAATTACTTTGAGATCTTATTGCAGCCTCGTAAACGACGTGCAGCGATAACACGTTCTACAGTGAACTTTCGCCAGATCTCTCGCCAAAATATAACGTGCCCGATATAGGCAAAATCATTTTTTATTTCTCAAAAATACGAATAATTATAGCGATTATTATTGCCCTAGTTTGTTTGTTATTTTTAGCAAAAATAATAGTGCGCGTTTCTTTGATGGCTTGGCTAGAAATGATTGTATAAAGGAAATGAAATAAACATTAAAATATTACGACGCAAGATACAATAGAAAATTGTGCAAAATTATATATTAAAACAATTAGGTGTCAAAGAAAAAGAAAATGGCAAATTTAACGTTCATGAACGTATTATTTTTTTTTCTAAAGTACACGTCTCGGTACTCATCTTATTACGATCGCAATTAGCACGAGACGATGGTAAAATCATTTTTTATTTCTCAAAGATACGAATAATTATGGCGATTATTATCGCCCTATTTTGTTTGTTATTTTTAGCAAAAATAATAGTGCGCGTTTCTTTGATGACTTGGCTAGAAATGATTGTATAAAGGGAATGAAATAAACATTAAAATATTACGACGCAAGATACAATAGAAAATTGTGCAAAATTATATATTAAAACAATTAGGTGTCAAAGAAAGAGAAAATGGCAAATGTAACGTTCATGAACGTATTTTTTTTTTTCTAAAGTACACGTCTCGGTACTCATCTTATTACGATCGCAATTATCACGAGACGATGGTACAGTCATTTCATTTTATGAACGTGTTAAACTACCTCTTTCTGCACGCATCACGAGAAGAAGCTTGAAATTTTGCCAGACTTATGAGACATCGCTGTATTTTGAATATATTATGCAATTTCATCGAGATTTTACATTCATGACTTTCAAAGGAGTTCGTTAATATTTATCCAAAGTATTTCGTGAAATTGCGAGAGATTGACAATAATTTAGAGATCCACGATCAGGAGCATTTAAAGGATCAAATCTTACGTTTATTACTTGATATCAATAATACTGAACGTTACAATTAGTCTCGAAATTTCACCAGCTGAGAGAGATTAATCTAGATTGACGGGATTATCGAGGATAACGCTACGTTTCCATCGCTCTGGATGAGCGGTCACGTGCCGGTCCGTGAAAAGCGTCACGACGGGACGATTGTATTTATTTTCCCAGTTAGCATGGTCAATAAGGTGGCACGAGCCGTGCGAAAGTCGACCTCCTTTCGACTGTGCAGCACAATGTGCAATCTGCATACTCCACTTTGACAGTTTGCCCGATCAATCAGCTGTTTCCCTGAAAAAAAGAGAGGGGCAGGTTTTTAACGCGATAATTCATATCGAAATGATTGACTTTGAGAGTATCATTGAACGACTCAATGCTACCTCTCCTCGCCGAGGTATCCGACAGGAACGTGCGTAACGCGCACCGGAATAAGGAAGTGCTTCCTCTCGCTCGTCGACGCGGGCGCGACGAGGAAGGACGACTCGCTGCTAGAGGAAGAGAGAGACAGCCGTGTGCAATAGCGCGGTTAGAAGGAGGCCGGAGAGCGAGGGAAGCCGCGGAAGAGCGAAGGGAAGGAGCGAGCGAGAGACGGCGGAAGAGCGACGAGGAACCGCTGTTCTCTCCGCAAGGACGAAGACGGCGCGGCGGCGCTCCGTGTCGTAGGCACTTCTCCTGTGTGGTGCCTCTCGCAGCCACAAACTACCCGACCACCACGCGGCACGGATCCACCACGAAACTCATCCTCCTGGTCTCTCTCTCTCGTCTATCCCGTCACGCGACACCATCCGTCAAAATATCGTTGGCGCGCTCCGATCCCTTCGCATCCCTTCTTGCCCTTGGGATCGCGGCCGAAACTCGCGGGAGATGGACCTCCTGGATGGAGCAAGCACATCGATTAATTCCGGAGAGCTTGGACGAGACGTCGTAATTTTCTAAATTCTGTCTCATGCGCCACCGCTAATGTTGGGTATTGTTGAAGTGTGAAGATAAGATCCTTGCGAAGAGCATACATATTGAAGCAACGATGGATTCGGTAAAATAGAAAATAGAGAACGAGCCGATCTACTGCGCGATGCAATTTGAATTTTATGAAATTTATCGTCGTATCGTTATTGCTTTATTATTAGCGAGAGAAGGAATAAAATGAGAGGTGCATCGCACAATTGCTGCATTTATATAAAGAGAAAAATTTCCAACAAGGAGTAAAAATGGAAAGGATAATATTTTTCATGGAATCATTTATTCTTTACCGATGAAAACCGCGATATAAATTTTACTACCATTCGATATAGTAAATTTATACGCATCTGGGATCTATTTAAATTTAGATAAATAAAAATAGAAGAAAGGAAGAGAGAGATACCTTGCAAGAATAATCTGCTTCTCGCCGCATCAGTTTGCCTTCTGAAGAAATTTCACTCATAAATTCTGGCCTTCGATTATGCCAACGAAACACAAATCTTTCGTTTCTCGTCAAAAATGTACAAATTTTACTATCGTAATTGAATATCTTCGAAAAGTGTATGATTCATCTTTCATGCTACCTTCGAAAGTTTCCACGTGAACATTAGAACTAGCACTTTTTTAAAAAATTCGTAAAATTCGCGATGTGAAGTAGTTTCTATAGAATTATAGTCGCGCGTTAATTGACTGGTGAACTGACAATTAATAAAATTTGTGACAGAGGATGTGAATCAAGCTCGAAAATTAACCGCCACAGCTGTTGAAATGCTGGAGGATCCGAGGGAAGCCGCGACCTACGCTCATTATCGTTCCTGACAAACGTCGTCCACGTGCTACGAAGATCATCGATCACCTGGCTGTAGAGTGTCTACAACTTACCGCATGGCCTGCCGCATCCAGCTGACATTTAACAGGTTAGTGCCAGTTAGGATCTTTCAAGATTTTTCTGACACATGTCTCCGAGACATATATATTATATCGAGAACAGAAAAATCGCAAAGTATTTTATTTATTGCCAATTATTTATCTACAATATAAATCATAAATCTTCGAAGGCGATATAAATAACAGGTTCAAAGATGCATCGAAGTAGACTGATATTTAGATTATTTAGTGCATTGATTGTCTGCGTTAAAATAATTACTATCTCGCATAAACACAGACATACACATGTGTAGTATTGAGATTTTCAAGTCTTTTGCATATGTGACGAGCTGCCGACAATAATTAAAACTTACCATCGCAATTTGCTCTTCCAGATTGACGTTCGATTGATTATCTTCAATTGCGATACCGTTATCAATCATTTCGAAATATTGCTCACTCATTATTCCGTATCAGTTGGCGAAATTTCGAATAATTATTTTGATCATTCGAAAAGACCGTTTCGATTCCGGTTGGTGTCCCGGTTCAAGGCTGACACTAACACGCGAGAACTTTCTTTTACCATCATGCAATGTTCTTTCATCAATATGTACATAGATTTTTGAGACAAATATATTTAAAAATTAGCGAATTAATATAGAAAAATTTCTATTAAATTGAAAAATTATTAAATTGTTGCATTAAATCAGCTACTTTGTTTCTTTCATTCGAGTCATCTATTTTATTTTGTTTAAGCAGATAACATTAATTTTTCTTATACATTAATAATTTGCCTCAAAGATAAAATCTCTTATGAAGATAAAAATTTGATTTATTAAATCAATTTAAATTTTATGCAAGCCTTTTTCTCGTAAACAAAAATGAAAAAAAGAAACATTTTTCTTTCGAATGATTTCATGATTTTTTAATATATCAGAAAGCAAAGAAAAAACTTAAATAATTTAGTTTAATTAACGTATTGCCTTAATCTTTAAATTTAAATATCGCATATATCTCGAGATGAATAATTATCTCTTTCAGATGTAGATGTACATAAATCTTTTCTCTGAATATTCGATTGATTTGCTCTTTGATTGATTTGATCTTCTTCCTTGAGACATTTATAGAATTGTATAGCGTATATACGTACATGATCGGTGATTGCGAAATTCTTGATCTCAAAATGCTGATTGTACATACTTCAAACTTATTTCACTGTAATAACGTGAGGTAATGTTTAGGTGTAATTACTATAATAATACTTATTTTCGACAAAATTATGCATCGACTCGTTGCATAATTTTCATTTTTTGAAACTTGTACGACAGTGCAGTTGTTGCGTTGTATTTTGTTAATAATTTGAAAAAAGATAATTTTTTAAAAATAAGTTTCATTAATAGTAGTTTTCGGTCAAATGAAGTAGGTACTTTATTAGATTATTATTCTGATAATGATTAGCAAGGAAGAAAAGAAAGGTCTGTGTAAGAATCTTCGAATAATTATTTCGAAATTAAACCGTATCGAGTACTATTCTATCAGTCGTCCAATCTTTAACTAATTAACATATCTTAAATCTAATACAAAATAAATTTTCAATGACGAAATAAGAAATTCTCGCGAAAGGTTTACGATGATGTCGCATCTTTCTAAATTTTCTCATTCTCGCGAACGAGAGAACAATCTGATTTCCGATTGCTTAGAAATGGCCTTGCAAGGCCATGTGGGGCTCGAGAAACTCGCCTACTTACATACCCACTTTATTCCCGTGGAACAAGACAAGCGAGGCCAGATCGAGATCTCAGCTGAAGAGCAGGTATCGCTCTTCCTTAAGTCTAATAGAACAGATGGTCGTCCCGGTGCCACGCCTTGATGTTCCAATTTCCTCGATCACGGTCACTTTTTGCTCCTTTCGTTCATTTTCCATCTGTTCTTGCGATATCTTCCTCGATACACGGGTATCTCTTTACAAAATAGAGAACGTAATTATCGAAATTGAAAGTTTGTTAGATCGTTCCGTGTGTTTTTCGATCTAATTTTGTCTATTGATTTTTTTGTAGCGTTTTTTTTTTAGAGCAAATCCACAATTAATAATTTGAATTTATTGATTCTTTTTTTCTTTTTTTATTTACATGTTTTATTATTTTTATTTATTTTTATTTTATTTTTATTTATTTATTTTTATCTTTTTCAAATTTCCTATGGTACCGTTAATTCGTCTCGACTTAAGCTGTTTATAAGTGTTCTATTATAATGAGTAATATTCGTGTTTATAAGTGTTCTATCATATGAGTAATAATCTCTCGAAAAAGATGAGGCAGACTGATAAAAATATTCATATAATTTAAGAGAAGGGCTATATAATTCTTCCTCCCCTCCCTCGTTTTGAAGGAAATCCGCAATCCATCATATTTGCGGTAACGCGGTAATTTCGCGTCATCCCATGTATATACTTACCCGAATCTGCGTAGTCTGAAAATTATCCTCGTTTCATTTCATCAATTCTTGCGTACCCATTAAGCCCTTCGCGACCATATAAAGTATAAACGTCAACGCGCGGTCGAATGGCGGTTATTTTTGCCGAAAAATGTTAATCGCCCGAGAGAGGAAACAGTTAAAGACGGTTGGCATCGCTCCCTCTTGAACCCGCAATCAAATTTCTGGCCAGCGAATCGTTCCTCGCGAGGGACCTCGTTAAAATCGCCAGCTGCCACGGTTCCCGAGCTTTTTTCCTCCGCTTCACCCAACCACCCGGCGCGGTCGCCATTTTCGCGCGAGCTCCTCTTCTTTAATTTTAATGCGACCGTGTCCGCGTCGCACGTAACGAGACACGGAGGCACCTCCGGCATAAATGCCAGACATTCATCAATCGATGCCGCCGTTCGAATCGTATTAATTCATCGCGAGGCATGCAATTAGCGAAATTTTAAGGTCGCTCGTTATGGATGTCTCGCGTGTTCTTCACGTGCTACTCCTTTTCGGGAGGAAATCTTTTTACGCCGAGATTGGATCTGTAACGCATTTCTTTTATTTTATTTCGGAGTCGGAATGCAACGCTGACGATTTATCGGAGTTCCCGTATCGTCTCGTTGGACTCTGAACGCACCGAGCGTGAGCCATTGAATAGATTTCACGGTCTTTCGTGGGAATTGGCGGAAACGTGAAAAATACGACATAGAAAAGCGCATCTCAAACTCTCTCGTCTTCATCGATGCAACGAAGTACGACGCGTATTCTATGGCTTTGACTTTTTTACTTTGCGCTCGATTGCTTACGGCAAAAACGGCGCATTATTATTGGAGGAGGGCTCGTGAGATCATCTCGCTAAGAGGTATATTATGATACTGATTTTTTACCGTAATGGATTGATTATTTGAGCCGCTTGTTTCCAAAATTATGTAAATTTAATTTTAAAACATTATGAGTATCAATAAGCATAGATAACGGAAGAAAAAAGCGAATTTAATTTTGGATAAACAAATTGAGTTTTATTTAAAATGTTGGGATATTTTTTTAATAATCAATTTAGAAAAAATATTTTATATGTATTGTATATTAATATAAATTTCAAAATCAATTTAGGAAACAATACAATTTAGATTTACATAATTTATATTTTACATGTATTATATTAATGTAAATTTTATTTTTGACATATTTTCAATCATATAATTCATATATTAAATATTTTTTCTATTTTATTTCCAAAGTAAAATTAACTTACACTATATATTTGGATATAATTTTGATAAAGAGTTTTATCTCAAGCAAGTCATTTCATTGCTAATTAACAGTATATAAGTTTAATTAAGACACGATAATTAATGTTCTCGCCGTATTCGTCATTTACGAAATTTTATTAGCAGCCCTTACGGAAACTTGATGAGTTCCTAATTAGAATCATAATTCACTGTCGTAGAGTTTTATTGCGAAATCGTGGAACCGTTACTTTTTTACAAGGTTTAAACTAGATATACCAGCGGCCCTACGCATTCTTGCATGAAAACATACATTAACCATGATATACATTATTTCTTTTCGCTGCGTAAACTCGTACAAAGTTATTCTCTGTTTTTCCTGATTTCTATAAAGAATTATAACTGCCGATTCTAAAGACAAATCGATACTTCGTATTGAGCGATGCAATCGATTTATTTGATGCGTTCGATTTAAATTTCTCTGACCTGAATATCTAATTACAATAAGAAGTCTTGTGAAAATGGATATAAATTTATCGCTTATCAGATCGGAAAAGAAGATGATACGCGAAAAGTTGTTTTAGTCAATATCACTTTTTGCGAGAATAAAAATAGACAATGACGTACTTGAGTAGTCAAATTGTAAAATAATCTATTTATTTTGAAGAACAAAATTATTTTTCGTTCTTATAAAATTTATTTTTTTTTTTTTATTTCTTTCGCTCTTAACAAAATTAAATATTTCTTATAAAATATTCACGAAAATATATTTTATAATTAATCGCAATCTTAAATTTCGAAAACTTTGAGAGATATTTGTTATATTGCATTTTTATCTAATTTATTCAAATAAGAAATAAAATATTTTACAAGCTTTTTCTAATAATAATTTTTATAAGCTTTTTCTGTTTTTAAATAATTAAAAAACGTTTTTAAACCGCATTTATAAGATGAATGTGCAATTAACAATTTGACAAATTTTATCTTGACAGCTAGAGAACCAAATATCATAATTATTTAGCGATATACGAGACGTGAAATTTTCGCAACCGGTAAAAAATCTGTATAATTGAATTAATTTATTGACATTAGCGTAAATATTACTCCTAAATAACTGCGCGTTGCATTAAATCTTACATCATATTTCGCATCCACCAGAAAAATATGTAAAGTAGCTACTTTTTCTCTTTCACGATCTTTGGAATAAAATAAATCACGGCGACATATTCATCCTCATAATTAACGGTTTACCTAATCTTTTCCATTTTTTTGCACGTCAAAGTGCCTCGCTAAGTGAGAAATCATTATCTCCCGTTGAATTCAAAATCACATCTGTTACGTCGCAGCATCATTAT